TTGATGATTCTTCCTTGGTTCATGTGATAAACTCTTGTATTTCACTAGGATGGTTAGATCAGGCACATGACCTACTGGATGAAATGCGTTTGGCTGGCGTTAGAACTGGTTCTTCTGTTTATTCATCTCTTTTGAAAGCATACTGTAAAGAGAACCGAGCTGGGGAAGTTGCATCTCTGCTTAGAGATGCTCGTAAAGCTGGGGTTCAGGTAGATGCAAGCTGTTACGAAGTGTTGATCCAGTCCAGGGCGCTTCAGAAGGACGCTCAAGGGGCCCTTGACCTGTTCAAAGAGATGAAAGAGTCTAAGATACCAAGAAAGGGTCATCAAGAATTTGAAAATTTGGTCAAAGGGTCTGCAGAAGGAGGTGAAGCTAGTTTAGTGATGATGCTTTTGCATGAAATCAAGGAAGGACAAAAAGTAGATTATGGAGTTCATGATTGGAATAATGTAATTCACTTTTTCTGCAAAAAGAGGTTGTTGCAAGATGCTGAAAAGGCTTTTAAGAAGATGAGGAGTTTGGGACATGCTCCAAATGCACAGACTTTTCATTCTCTGGTTACAGGTTATGCCGCCATTGGTGGAAAATACGTGGAGGTGACGGAACTATGGGGTGAAATGAAGTCTCTTGCTTTTTCTAGTGGAATGAAGTTTGATCAGGAACTGTTAGATGCTGTGCTTTATACATTTGTTAGAGGTGGTTTCTTTGTTCGAGCAAATGAAGTTGTGGAGATGATGGAGAAAGGAAATATGTTTATTGACAAGTACAAGTATCGTACCCTCTTCTTAAAGTACCACAAAACACTCTACAAGGGAAAGGCTCCGAAATTCCAGTCAGAAACCCAGATGAAAAAGAGAGAGGCAGCATTGAACTTTAAGAGATGGGCTGGGTTATGCTGAAGAGTCAGTTGTCTGTAGCCTCAAGGATATGACCCTTCAATGTTGGAACTTATTGCTCCGATAATTCCTAATGGGATGTCAGCAAACTGAATGGAGCTCCATATGACCTAATGAGCTTTCTTTACATTGAGGTAATTAACCCGGTGGGTTCGCCTAGAACTTGAAGTACGGAGGAGGATGGATTTGATGTAGGAGCAGAGTGGAATCTGGAGCAGGGTATCCCTACCCATCACTTGACGCTAGCAGATCAAGATATCTCCGTGGTTTTCTTTGTCATTCTCAATTTTTGATCATCCAATCCTTGTTATCATAAATGCCTTGCAAATAAGTCTTAACGGTGAGATGCATCCTGCTTTCTCTATGCATGCTTTTGAGGAAAGCGTCTGTATGATGGTTGATTTAGTCATGATTGAAGATCATCTGTTTATATTGTGCTCTGGATTTATTTCGACCCGATGTTCAGAGTGAAGCATTTATTTTGCTTTACGATAAGAAATCCGTCCATTTAATTGTACGGATGCATTAATCTTCTATCGAATGGCTTATGCCTGAGGTGCCTACATTATTTAACATCCAAAAGAAGGGCTTAGTTTCTGCTCGGTCGGCACTGCCATTGCCCTTCTGTTACTCATCATGATTCATTTAAGGGAACCTTGCCGAAATATATGCAATAATGCAAAATTTCTGAACTGAACTTTTTGGGACAGATGATTCTGCAAGCACCAATAGTGACAGGTAAAAGAGAATTCTCTCGAATTTTAATACTGTTGGAAACTCTATTTGTCTGTAGTGCTTTGCATAACAACTTTCTCATTTCTGTTGCTTCCTGATTTTCTTTTCTCAATGATGTGATCTGCACTTGCCATTTCATGAATTTTATGTGTATTTGTTCAGTTCCGATAGCCACTTACAGTCTTAGCTATCATCTATCCGTAAGTGTTGTATCTTTATCTTACATTAAAAGCATTAGTCAACCTTATCAAAAAGTTAATAGCATTAGTTTATAAGAATAATCAAAGCCCTCCAGATTTAGACGTTAACATGTGTTCCCATCTGAAAGTATGCTGGAGAAACTAGAGGCCTCTATTCCAGAGGCCTGTTATTTATATGTCATATTGAAGCTTAAATGATATGTTGATTATATGGTTTATACACATTTTAGTTGTCTGTCTTTAGTTTCAGGCTGTGCTTTCAGGCTCGTGTGATTTTTAAGATGGAGTCTTATGTCATCTGTGTTTTGTTGTATCGGTTGTTGTGAAAAGCTTGATTTAGAACAATGTTGCTTCCCTGTTTGAACTGATAACAATTATTGATATCAAAACAATGATACTTAGTAGTTTACATTTCTGTAGTTAAAGGATTTTGACTCGAACTTTAGTTGCGTTTGACTTGGTGGGACTACATATTTTGCCTAAATCCATCAGTTGCTAAGCTAATCCTTACTGTAAAGGTATGTCGGTCTTATGATAATTCAGTTATGATTCCTCTTGCATGGGAGAGTGTACATCAAAAGTTAAAAGAGCATGATTTGATTCTAAGCGTGAAATTTGATAATAATAATCTTACTACAGAAGATTGAGAGGAACTATCTGAATATCAAGAGAAGAAAATTCTTATCTCAGATTTAGAGTATGGGAGGGTGTAAAATCAATTAGTTTAGTACTATAGATTTTGACATTTTTTGCCCTTGAAAATGGCATAAGAGAAACATTTGCTCCATTTTTAATTCATTCTTTTTTAGGTTGAACAGTTTTCTTGTGGTTTTCTCTCTAATATTAGTCTACATCAAACTAATCAAATCGGATCACAATCTGACAAAACATGTTTACTTCACTCTTTTCCAACAAACTCAACTCCTCAGAAATCCAACACAGCTTCTATGTGGAGCTACAGCATACGGATTCTGGTGAGTTTTGACAGATAGAAAACTGAGACTTATACTTTTACTTTTAGCAGGTAAACTTTGTACATTATCTGGTGATTTGTGATTGAAAGACTGAAAGCCTTATACTTTTAAGTTTACAACTCGTCATAAATCCAACACAACTTCTAATTTGAGCTACAGTATACTGGTTTTGGTTACTTTTGATTGAATATAGATATTTTGAGAATGTATGTAACATTGAAAGATCTGAAAACTTTGAGGCTTATTCTTTTAAGAAAACTTTCTACAGAATCTGGTGATTTTTTATTGGAACACTGAAAGGCCTATACTTTTAATATGTAAACTTCTTGCTGATACTTGTCACTCCCTCATTCACTTATATACATCTTTGTTTATCTTTCAATCGCTTGCAGTTTTAATTTCTTCGAGAGTTTATGGTGCTGAGTCGCTTCTTTGGCATTCCCTTTAGTTAAGACGAGATATCATCTGCAACAAATGGAAGAAGGAGCTGGCCTTCGCTAGAGACAGCCCGCTGAATCATAAGGGCCTCCTGCGATATATATATATAATAGATCTGTTGAGGTTGAGCATTCTTCGCTTGTTCTTTGGTGTGTTTCTAAGCTTTAATCCCTATCAGAATTGTTTATGATCCTATCAAATATATGTAAGATTTACTTCTGGCTATGGTTTTGTGCAGGTAAGACGGTTCGAAACATGTTTTCATAGAGAAGTTATTGTGAAGTGATATGGTTAAACATCGAAGTGTAATTTGTTATCTCCTAATTGTTGTGCAATACTTGTGCTCTATTTCAGCTAATTACTAGAGGATTCTGTAGTTTAGTTAAACTTTCCTCTCATACTTGTTTTGTTCTAAGGATTAGTTGGCTCTAATTTATTGTTGTATGTATTTTGAGTTCGGTATGAACAGTGAAGGTGTTAGATTGTTGTGTTGTATTGCCTTTGAAGACTTTGATCATTTAATATAACTATTTTTTGTGCGTGTGAATTCATTAATATAGTTGAACGGAGAGTGCGAAAGGAAAATGATGCTTCAACTTTTAACTATATTTATATTTCTTTGATTTTCTTTTTTCTTTTTTCATGATGGTGGTGTCCGGGTCAGCTTGCATGCATCTCGATTAATTCACTGGGTATTTTACTACCTCCCACCAGAATAGGTACCTAGTAACTCTATTCATCAAGACTTGGTCAGATAGGAAGAAATCACCTCATATTTTTTTACATACAAATAACAACAACCACCTAGTGAAATCCCACAAGTGGGGTCTGGGGAGGGTAGTGAGTATGCAGACCTTACCCCGAGGGAGTAGAGAGGCTGTTTCGAAAAGACCCTCGGCTCAAGAAGACGAAAAGAGATAAATACATCTGTACCATAAAAATAATACCAGCGACATAAGAACCAGAAAATAGATAAAAAGCAATAACAATAACAAGCCCTATACTATGGAAAACGAAAGAATGTATGAACACAACACTAACATTAACCACTAACAAGGTAAGACGAAACCCTATCAGGCTGGCCTCACACCCTGCACGAAGTAGAACATAAAATCCTCTTCTTGGAACCTGTTATGGTTGTAGACAAACACATAACTATCAAGCTATTAAAATGTTTTGGTATAGACATCATTATTTACTTTGCTTTGTTTTGTGCTAGGGATAAGGGAGGAGAATATTGGAATTTATCCCTTCATCTTTTAATGTGTGAAAGTACTTTGGGGACATCCCTCTAAAAAATCTCAATCAAAAGTGTGAAAATATGAAATTTGTAGTTTGGCAGGGTGAATCATTTGATTTGGAAAAATTTTGGACGGAGAAAGACTATAGGGCTAAGAGAAGCTCTCCTGTCAAGCCAAAAACTTGTCCCACGTAAACTTCCCTACTATAAAAGTATTTTAATGTGTTGCAACTTCTAAAAAAGTTGAGTAGTAGACCATCCAAGAAAAGTCAAAATTTCTAAGTAGCAAACAACTCCCATTTCCTTGATGAAGTACGTGAAATTCATGAAAAAATTCTAAGTCTGTCTTTATTTTATCAAACATCAAAGGAGAAGCAAACAACTCCCATTTCATTGACATTGCCTAGTTCTGAATTCTGATCCCATTGAAAAGGACACATTTTGCATTGTTTATTTTAAGAGTCAATTTCCCATTGGCCTGGTTGAAAATTTCTGAGTTGACAAATTAAAAGTCCAATTGGGCATCTTGTTATAGTGTTTTGGCACAGATAGTTGAGCCAAAAGAAGTCCTACAATGTGGTAATAAGAAGCCTTAAAATACCAAAAAATGACCAATAGCAGCAGAAATGTGCAATATTTTGTTCATGTAATTCTTGTTATTCTTCACTGTTTTAATACAGGATTTTGCACAGAAGTAGATAGCATTACTAGCACTCAATCTCTGAGAGATCCTGGAATTTTATCGTCGCCAGATGGCGTCTTCAAGTTGGGATTTTTCAGTCCTCTAAACAGCACTAATAGGTATGTTGGCATATGGTACAATTTTTCTGAAACAATTGTCATTTGGGTTGCTAATAGGGACAAACCTTTAAGTGATTCTTCTGGGGTTGTGAAGATATCTGGCGATGGAAATGTCGTCCTTACGAATGGAGAGGAAGAGATTCTTTGGTCAACAAATACTTCAACAACCTCTCACGTAAACTCAATTGCCCTTCTCCAAGATTCTGGTAACTTTGTTCTGGCAGATCGTCTGAACAACGCGAGCATAATATGGCAAAGTTTTGAACATCCTTCTGATTCACTTGTCCCTGAAATGAGAATAAGTGAAAACACAAGGACAGGGGAAAGGATAGAACTAAAATCTTGGAGAAGCCCTTGGGATCCTAATTTCGGAAACTTTTCTCTAGGCATGAAATCTGAAATCATTCCTCAGGTATATATTTGGAAAGGTAACCGTCCCTATTGGCGAAGTGGTCAATGGAATGGCCAGATTTTCATTGGAGTGCAGTATATGTATTCTGTGTCCGTTGATGGATTTAGTGTAGTGAACGATCGTGAAGGTACTGTATATCTTACCGGACCTATTGGTTTTAATTTCTTAACGAAGTTCATCTTGGATTGGAAAGGAGACTTAGTTCAATCATTTTGGGACGAGAATGAGACAAATTGGAAGGTACTATGGTCAGCTCCCAATAATGATTGTGAAGTTTACGGAACGTGTGGTCCATTTGGGAGCTGCAATTATTTGGAGTCTCCATTTTGTTCTTGTCTGAAAGGTTTCGAGCCAAAGCATAGGGAAGAATGGGAAAAGGGGAATTGGACTAGCGGTTGTGTTAGGAGGATAGCTTTGCAATGTGAAGTGAAGAATAACTCGGGGAATTCGAGTAAAGAAGATGGATTTCTAAAGATGGAGTCAATGAAATTGCCTGATTTTGCAGAAAGGTCATCTACTGGAGAAGACCAATGTAGAAGCCAATGCTTGCGTAATTGTTCCTGCATTGCGTATGCATATGACTCAGGTATCGGCTGTATGTCGTGGAGTAACAACTTGATTGACATTCAGCGGTTCCAAAGCTGGGGGAAAGATCTCTATATTCGCGTGGCACATTCAGAGCTTGGTATGTATTCTGGTGCTCAATATAAGACTCAATATCCTCTCAGCCCATTTTAGTTAGGGAGAATGACACAAATAGGATACTTTGTGCCACTGTTGATTTTTTGACCCCGGTAACAAAAGTTTTAGCAGAATAGCCCAGTGCCTGATTTTAAAGCGTGCTTGCTAGAATTCAGCAAGTTATGGTGATTGTCAAGATTTGTGGCAAATCCCGACGATCACCAGAATTGTCAGCCACAATGCTGAAAAAATTTGGCATTTGTCAGCATTTTGCCACAATCCTGACAGATTACCAGAATCTTTTCAGCATTGTGGCTCAATATCTGGCAATTGCCAGAACCAGTTTCCAAAATTCTGACCAGCGTGCTTCAAAATTCTGGCTGGAGGTTATTTTCCGACGACTTTTCTTAACAGGGTCAAAATTTAAACAATGCTCCTTAAAAGGTCCATCCAACGTAATCCTTCTCCAGCCATTGTAGCTTAATCTGTCATTAAAGATATCATTGACTTAATTGAGTTCCATGTATATACTTTTTAGTTTTTGACTTCAGTAAAGAACTGATACTTCACCTTTTGTGTTTGCTCTACATTGCAGATCATCATAAAGACATAAAGAAAATTGTAATTCCAGTAATCGTCGGTACTCTTATACTCTGTGTTTGTCTTTCTTTTCTGCTTAAGGATGGTCAGACGTAAAGGTAAAACAGACTAAAAAGTTTGTAGTATACATTTAGAAACATTTTGTTAGCTATAGTTAACTTGTATCCCTTCTGATATTAGGAGTGAAGAGCAAGGAGGTAGTATTACTTGGTAACAGAATGGAAGAATTACCAGTCTTCAACTTCGAAACGCTTGCAAATGCAACAGCCCGATTTTGTGAGGATAATAAGCTTGGTCAGGGCGGTTTTGGTCCAGTTTACAGGGTACGATTTTCATCTCTCTCGATCACTTTCCAAATTTCAGTAGCTGAAATTGGTACTTGCCTTTCAGGGAAAATTGGAAGATGGGAAAGAAATAGCAGTCAAGAGGCTTTCAAAAGCCTCCGGACAAGGGCTAGAAGAGTTCATGAATGAAGTGTTGGTGATCTCTAAAGTCCAACATAGAAACCTTGTTAGACTCTTGG